AATACTGCGTACCTAGTAGGTACTACCTACCATATTAAAGTGTAAACATTACATTACACGAGCAAACACAGTGAAAATTAGAGGAACTTGAAAAATATATTAATTATAAAGATCCGTATCCGTATCCGCGGATCTTGACACCAAATATCCGTATTCGGATCCGTATCCGCGGATATACATTTTTATTGATCCGGCACATCACTACTTGAGATTAAGTGTATAATTGAAATAAAACAAAATTCTTACATACTACACACCCTTCTTGATTTGTAACATTGCATTGTAAAATAACTAACAATGAGAGTATCAACACGCGCCTTCTTGTTTTTGGGGTTTAATAAATAAATAATGGTACTTTATGATATATTAATTTATATTTTTTTTAAATTGTTTGTTGAATGCTGAACTTATTTCATATTAGTCGCATGAATGCAAAAGTTAAAACTTACTTTTGATAAAATTAAATCATTATTTCGGAGAATACAATAATAAATTAAGTCGTGATTATTTTAACTACATTATTTCTTTTTTTCAGTAGATCGGATTCCGATTGTTAGTGGCCTTCGTGTAGCCCTTAATCAATAAATCAATTTAAAATCCTTTGGGAAGTATTATTTCTTTGAATTTACTGATTTATTTAAGCAATTTTTACCCAAATGAATCTAGATATCAGCAAAGTTATTTGTAATATAACAAACAACCTAGACCCCGAATTTTACTTTTAATCGTCTCTGCAATTCCCGCCACTTAAAGAGAAGTTTGAAATTCGAAAATGTAAATAACTTCCGCCTAAAATACGGCCAGCTTAATCCCGCTTCAAACCTTTCCCGCCACTTATAATCCCTCTCCACGCAACCACGATCGACCGAGCCTTTGTTTGGCGTGTGGATAATTAAGACGTCATTCGCTTTAAAGCATAAAATGTCGATAATTCATTTTATGTAACAAACATCCATCCAATCGCCCACGTAGTTCTGCGGTTGACACGATACGTGACGTAATCGGGACGTGGTCGTTACGTGAGTGTTACCAGCTGATCATTTTATTGTTTACTGTGTTTCTGGCAGCGGCTTCGCCCTCGTGGTCCTGTTTTATACATACAAACTTTTGTCTTGAATTACTCTGTATATTGATGCATATTGATGAACCGCATTAAAACCCGTTGTATAATTCAAAAGATCACAACGTACAGCTGACACGGGATATATAAATATTATACAACGGCGGCTTTGTTATTTACTATGTATAGATTCTGCGCAAACTAATATCAAAAGATTATTGTTTTAATAGTTGAGGAAACTGATATTACTCGAAGGCTGACTATTAGCTGATTGTCAATTTTTTTTTGATGCATCTGCCTCAAAAAGGTATTTGACAATGTTGGAAGAAATACTAATTAGAAGCTAAGATAAAAGTAAAAGACATCGCCGTTTGAGTCACATTAAAATAGATGGTGAAAGGTGCCGTCAGGCCAAATCACGAGATTACATTATCATTGATATCCCCACTGTAGAATCCAGCCTTTACTAGGGGTGAAATCAAATAGGCAGGTCGGACCATTACCCGCTACGTGGCCCGGAGCGGTTTAGAGAATGTTCACAATTTCGTCAATGTTAAAGCGTGCCTTCCCAATACGAAGATGCTCGGCTCTAATAATGTGATATAAACTGTATGTAACTCTCCAAAAAAATTTTACGTACTTAAAACCTTTTTCAACTTGTGTTGTGTTAACATAACACAATAGTTATCAATATCAAATTTAAAAAAAAATGCATAAAATACTTCCTCGTCTCGTGTCGTGTAAACCGTCCCTGCCATATACATATTTAGTCACTAGTGAGGTGTAATTTTAACATCTCTAATAGCTAATAGAGGCCCTCGATTACCGACGTAATAGCAGGCCAGCACCGCAGGCACATAGATCCCGTTCAGATTAATAGCTATAAATAACTTTAAACAGTCGCTATGATTATATACTCTATGGTTAATACATTTACCAGTCACCAAGGAATTATTTCGATATTTCCATCGTTTTAAATTATGAAATTGGCAAAATACGATAATAGCAAATCGTAAAATTATCATCAGTCTATTACTGTCCCCATTGCTAGGCCACAGGGTTTTCCTAGGGATGGAAAATGCCTTAATAAGCACGGTGGAACTCGAGTTAATTAAATTTGGTCATTGCTATTCGCTCATTAACAATAAACATAGTTTGGGATAAAATATTTATAAAATAAGTAAGAATAAAGACTATTTTTCTTCACTAGTAAACAGTGCTGCTGCTAAAGTGATAATTGTAACTTACACAGAGCAATATTTTCCTACTCACCGGGAACGGATTAAAGGCGTCTCCGGTTGAAACTGTTTAAGATTTTTGCTTCTCTCTCGGTGATAAATTACGACCAACCAGTGACGGGATAAGGCGGCTGAATTAATTACTACCGGACAAAGAACAAGGGTAATTGTGTTAGTCAGATATTGCAAGCCGACTGTTGCAATAACGATGCACTTTTATAATTACTTTCTTTATTAATGTTGAATGGATTAAACAGAGATATTACATCAACGCCAGCCTGTTACTGTTTGCACTGCTGGGACACAACACTCCATGGATGCAATCAAATAGAAATGGCCCATTAACCCATCACGCGTGGATCCAGTTTGGATTGGTGTGTGTTAACCATTGCATGCAGCCGATAGCAACAGCTTAACTTGCTTTCCGAAGCACAGAGGAGCCCTGGGTAACAAATTCTTGGTCACTCATCCTTTAATCTGCACTTGGGAAAGTTGCGAACGCATTAACCAAAATAATCCACGGAGCTCTCAGAACCCAAGACATTACCAACATTTTTGCCACCCGATTGTCAAAAAACTTAGATTTAATTATATATATTAGTATTCATATCTTTGTACACATATGTTCAAATATCAACCTAGAGCGCCAGGCGTTTCACACTGCCGACTTTGACTAGTAAATTATCCGCTTTTACTTACATTTTTTGAAGAATAAATAAAATCTTTCGTGTAGTACTTCATAGATACAATCCCTATAGTCAAATAATTCAGTAAAATAACCGAATGCTTTAGATATAAACGTGGTAGGCTGGGTTGCATACGATGTGGCCTGGCCACATAAAATGTGCTCTAACTGGAGAAATGCCGCGGTCCTTGTTTTGCCTTTTGAGTACCAGATAATATACCCTCGTACAGCTTATAGACATGAACCCCGCATATTTTGGAGTTGTGGTCGGGCTACAACGGATCACACGCAACCCAGCATCTGAATGCAGCATCAGCATCACCATTATGCGTAGTATGACAAAACAAACTATAACAAACCATAGAATCGTTTTCACACCGTTTGTGTCATGATACGAGCCATTATTTATATTTAGGCGTATATATAAATAATCCAAAGAAGAGGTACCTATTATCGTAGACACTGTTTAACCCTGGCTTCAATTCAGCTAATACCTATAATAATCACATCTCAATTAATTGCAATATCTACCTGAAGCCAAATAATATTAAAAATAATTATGTTTTTTATTTTTTGATATAATAACAAGTTCTGTGTAAAAACAATTGTTATTGAAGCTTATTTGACTTGCTATAATTAAGTTTCTACCATAGAAAGAGAGCGAAGATAGATGTATTAACAGGATTCCGTGGGCTAAGGGAAATTCTGAGAAATAACTTTATAAAACAGCATTTACAACGCATTTATTTAAAGTCCAGGCACAATGAACACCTCACAATTTGTACAAAACATTTTTTCGCCAATTAATTTTCAATCTTATTAGATACACAAATTAAAGTCGGCTTTACATTTGCGTTCATATACTAGTATGTAACTAATTTTCATCACGCTACAAAACGTAAAAATATCGCAAACGCTCTATATAATTTAGCATATTGAAATCTGTTTGCTTAGCAGATTTATAACGTGATATTTGTTTTATAAAACTTATAACTATTTTCCTGGTTATTATTTTTAATCAATTTATTAATTATTCACGTATTCACAATGTTATACTGAACAATATTTTATATATGTATTTGTAAAAATGATTCTTTCGGCTCTTTGGGTGGACTGCTTGAACATCTATGAAAATACGCTCTGTAATAGCAAAAAAGTAACAAGTGCTTAAAAAATTCGTCAGTCCTGGTTAATATCCTGGGTAGCTCAGCGGTTTGAGCAGTCACTCGAATTGCGAAAGGTCATAGTTCGAGTCCCTTCCCAGAGTGCCAGGGACAAAGTGTATTTTTAAGCGTTTTTAAGAATATTTTCTGGTTTCCAGGCAAAAAATAGGCCTGATATTATTGTGATAATTTACAATCGGCTGGAAATTAATGTCTTTCACTATCATTATTCATATTTGCGAATGCTGTCATTACTTTTTCATATTTTATTTATCTTTTCTGTTTCTGAAGCTTACAGCAGTATGCCCACAATATGATTACACCTATAACTGTTATAATGAGCTAATAACAAGCTTCTGCTTATGAACTAACAATCTAAAGTTGCAATTAGAGTTATACAAATGGGGATTTACTGTTAAGACACTTAAAACATTCTATCAATACGATAAAGACATGTTCCGCGATGATTTCAGTATAGAACTGTACTTTTAAGTAAGGTAGGTTTAAATACATTCTTGTGTCGTATTTTGTGTCGTAATATTGAAAAGTTTTAATCAACTATCGTCTTTCAACTTAATATATAGCTTGTTTATTTAACTAATTAATAATTCCAATTAATACACTGATACGCTTAAACTTCGTACTGCAAAGCAAAATATTATGTTTCTTACAAAGACTTTGCTGGACTATAGGTATTGTGACGTCATTAATTTAAGCAATGAATATAAATTAGCTTATAAAAATCTAAACAAACAATTTAGTTGAAGCACACTAAAAAATTGCTAAATAACAGGGATCCGTAGCAAATGTAAACCCGGCTTTGCGCAGGCGCATTTATGTCACATTTCAAAATATTACAAGAATGTAGACCAGTAAACTACGTTCAGTATGAAGAAAGAGAATGGGAAGAAGAAACGTGAGAACCGATCTATGTATACCGCCGTCTCCCTCCCGTTGCAGAATGTGTCGTATTGAGGTATGGATGCTGATGTGCTCGCTCGAGGATCAACGGTATTAGGGAACATGTGCTGAAAATACAAATTAGTAATATTATCATAATCTGACTTTCAACGTGGTGTTCTATTTTAACCGAGTTCAAATAAAGTGGACAATCCTCCTTAACCATCCGTAAGAAAGGCCTGGGCCTTGCAGTGGGGACGTAAAAGGGCTAATGATGATGATGATGAAAAATAGATTGTGTGTGTATCAGTAATATGACTAAGTAATCTTGGGTTTCCCCGACTAACTTTTGTTAGTTACAGCATAACATGGACAATGTTCTCTTTACACCTCTTCTTCATATAGTTTATAAGTGATGGTTAAGTTTGTTTTGAGGAAGTGTGCTCACAACGAGAAATTGGCAGAATTGTGGCTGACCCATAATTATTAATTAATAAAAAAAAGGAATGCGATCAGCAACAATACACCTTAGAATAATAACTTAACCATAGCAACCACGCTAACGTAGGAAGCGAAGATATATACTCTTTTTCTTTTCCTTACGACCCATGTTAATGCGTTAGAAAGAGATATCTAATATAAGTCATGTCTCAATTTATGTGGGTTGTCACAAGTTATTTTTCTTTAATGATTTTCCTTGTCAACATTTTATCGATAAAAACTTTATCGATAAAAATTATTTGTGAAAACAGTGTTTTTTTTAATAAATTTAATGCTTATTTTTGATAAAACAAATATGAAATTATTATTTTCATTTTCAAAGTACAATTTCTAGAAAATATATTATACATGTATGTGTATTAATACAATAAAATCGGTTGCAAGAGTAGCCTCGAAAACATTTTACAGGTAAATGATAATAAAAAACATTTTACAGGTAAATGATAAATTAGATTTAGTTAAATCATTTATATTGTCAATCACGCAAAAAAGAATGTGTACCTATATAATAAGCATTAAATTTTTAGATTTATAAAAGTACTACGAAAAACGTATTCTTCCTATGTGAGACTTGCAGTCCACGATTCATGGTTTATTATCATAGACGTCATTTAACTTGCAGGTTTTACTATCACAACACTATTTTGAGTTATTAATAATACTTTATTTGTGTCACTATGATGCTACCACGTTAAGTTGTCATTTATTTATACAAGACTAAGAAAATATAACGAACTTTAAATCTAGTAGTGTAAATACATCAAAATTTACGGCCAGTTTGACAATGAACTTGTGACAGCCTTGATAAATAAGAAACAAATGTGGATTCGGTATTTCATTTACTCTTTCTTATAGAAAAATTCAATGACAAAGTATTTAAAAAAATAATAATTCCCGAAATCACACTAGATATCGCTACGGGACGTACTTGATTTCTCCATGACAACCAGTCCGGTTTTCTTTCATATTTAAAAGTAAATTAGTTTTCAATAAACAATTCATATTCTATGTATACTTTTTCGTATTTGTATTGATATCTTAGTTTCGAACTTTAAAAATTTCAGTTTTTTAATATGTTAGTTAAAACTAACGGAAATCACCATGTTTGGTCCATTCGTTTCCTGCAAAAATCAACTTTTGCTTTAGTTGCCATCTAGTGGAGGTGCTTTTTAGTGCTATCGGTTTTTTAAATACCTCCTTATTGTATATTATGGACAGATAGCAATTTAAATTTTTTTATAACATGGTTTCTATGCTTTGTTATTATTCTAAGCCACTACTCAGTCTTTGGGAGCTAGATCGCCGCGTCTCACTGGCTCGGTTGCTTTGTATAGTTTAATCATTATGTTCCATTTCACCAGATGTATATATAAGAGTCTATGAGAGCTTCTAAACACATGTGCAAAGTTTCGGAAGTTTGCAAATAAGATCACAATGATTCTTTCAATCACAATGATAGTTTTGTAGATATAAACTTTTAAAATTTACATGACATAAAAATTCTATATTATCTATTTTCTTGGTAGTTTTTTTCACTGACAATTTAAGGCGCTTGCCACTAAATGTATTGTTCATATCTAATTACACAATTATATCCAGCCCGCCCCGCGTGTCGCCACACTGGTCTACTTCATAAAGGTATATTATTAAATATAGGACTGAATAAATTGACCCCGGTCAGTGGCGCGGGGCCGTTGGCCTAGATATAAATTTAAATTTACTTTAAATGCGTCAAGATCCCTGGATAAGTCCTCGTCGGAATAACCCTTCATGGCTTTAGTGGCGACTGGACCCATGTAGTTGTTCACCACAGCAAACTCGAACAAAGACAGGAACACGAACACAGAACAGGAAGACATCCAAACATCGATTGCCTTTACATATGAAACTGGTGGTAGACTTTGCTGCGATTGAGTATTTTGGGTAGCTGGAAAAGGGAAATAATATAACTGATATAATAAACACTGGAATATCATAAAAGAAACTGCCCGATTTCATTGATGTAAAGAATATTTTTTAAATACTATTTATATTTTATTATTTATATATATTTATAATATTTTTTTTCGCCCATAATGTATACGTAACTTTATATTAAACGCTTAATGAAACCTCAACCTTTATAGAACATATGCTTTACTACTTACCTAAAGTCAATAAAGATGTGACCCCAAGAGTGACCCTTGCGGGAATCGCTTCTGGTTTAATCCAAAAAGAAATCCAGGACATAACTACGATGAGGGCTGAGGGAATATACGTATGGAATAAATGATAGCCGAGGCGTCTCCGCAAATTGAATACCACAGCTAAACAAGTGAAATTACCTGCAAGCAGCAACAAAAGTCGAGTCAAAAGGCGAAGCAGCAATTGGAGCAGATTGCGGAAAATAAAGACGGAGTAATTACACTTGAAGGAGTATTAACATACAGTTAAATATTTTCGCCATCAAGATGTTCAAGAAACACAAGATTTTGGCCTCTAAAGTATCTAGTTTCAGTTTATCATTAGGTATACGATATTCGATGCTGGTATTTGCAAATAACACTCAGCATTTCTTACATTTAAACCTTGAAGTGGTTCTAAATACATACTATATAAACACAACTATAAGTACATTATTTGAGTGATGTTAATAATGATACCACTTTTCAGTACCTCAGACTTGACTTGAAATGTCTTTTTCAAGCCCTAAGTCTAAAGGATATAAAGTCCAGAAAGAAATATTTAAACGCCATAATAAACGTCGCATAATTGAATTCAAGGGCTGATTTAGGTGACTTAGCAGGTTTCTAAGTCAAGTCCAAAAATTTTATCAAAACTTATTTTTCTGTTAATCTCAAAATGTTTGCCTATTAGCATAAAATTTGTTGATAGGTACCTGTGGAGTACTCAATAGTGCAGTCAGTTGTGTAATTGTTGGAGATGTCCAGTTGGGGCAGTTCGATGTCCGGGTTGACTACTAATGGATCTGTCAAGTTCCATATGAACACCAGATCGTGTACCGTATGCGACACTGAAAAATCATGAAGAATATTCACATAAATTCGGATTGGATTTGATCTCTTTTTCATTTCTTTCCCACGAACAAATACAGCCCATTATCACACCCGGTTCACCTACATACGAAAAATACTTACAGCTTTCGATCATCATAGAACAACTCTGAGTGTCGTGAGGATACGACTCGAACTTCATTGCACATGAAAGCACCAACGTCAATCTGAAATAAGTAAAATTGGCTCTATACAAAAACTTATTTGAATAAGACTTGCTTTCGAAGAAGCTCAACAAAACCATAGAATACATTAGGGCATAAGAGGTCTTAGTAAAAAAAAGTCAACGAATACTTATGTAATTCGTATTCAAAACATAAAGTGTTCTATTACAAATAGTAATTTTCCCTTTTACATATGTAGGCTATGCAAATATCAACATAAAAATGTTACTATCATTACTGTTTAGGCTTATAAAGGGTTTCAAAAATATCGTTTTATAAAAAACATTAACCGTTTTCTGAAAATACCCATTCGAGGCGAATCGGCGCTTCACGACCATTATAATCACTGGGATTAAAATGGAGGTGGAGCTGTACACCGTCTTTTTTAAGACCCAATTTATTTCAATGATGAATGCTTGTTTTTCATTGACAAAAAGTGCAAGCGTGAGGAAATGTACATAAATAATACACAAAGCTTTTAATGGGTGGGGTATTAACCGGTATTCTAAACAGAACCATTTTTGTTTTGATCTTCAATCAGAACCGAATGATTTCGATTTTTAAATAACCGAAACTCATATAAAAATATAAATGGGGTTTCTTGTGAGCTGGTTAATGTAACCAGGTTTCCAAACCCTGCTTACGGTACTATATTTTCGTAGTCTGACCAACAGATTAACTAAAGATAAAATAATCTGTACTCTATCACCGTCATAAATAGTTGCCTTTAGCATTTTACAACTGTCATCATTAATATTCCTCTAATAACTTACTTTGACATGTACAGCAAAGTCTTGTCATGGTACAGCCACAGATAATGGTTAGGGATGCTCATCTCATGGAAGGTCACCTTCTTCGCATTCTTGAAGAAGCAATCGGGCCTCCAGATGCTGTTCAGCCATTCCACGTCTAATATTCTATACTCCTCATGCATATTCTCAGGGAGACGGAGGCGTGGATCACGCCATGATTGCGCTAAGAAGATATCTGCTACATACGTCTGTAAATTAAATAAAATCACAGATGTTTTATTGTCGCCTTCCTAGAATAATGTAGAGAAGCGTTTCCAATAGAGTCTTAGCCTTAAACCCACATTAATTCTCATAGACCATAGACATAGACGTCGAAAGAGGAAAAAAATGATTTTAGATTTTTTTGTACGAACAGATATAAAACTCCGCCCATAGCACATATGCAAAGAGTTAAGTATATCACACATGCTACGCGTCGAATCGTCGGAATACTAATCTCACCTACTTCTTTACACAAGCATACATAGCATGGCAAAATCGAGAACATTTTGTAAAACCCCAAATGTCAACGTCTCGCTATCTACCGGAGAAAAGTGGCGTTCGATGTAGACCAAAGCATTTCTCGAGTACGTCACGCTATGCGTGCAGGTGTAAAGAAAATTCATATCGACAGTGTTCTTCAAAACGCAGTTACTTGTTAAACACCCTGCAAACAATCTATTGTACGTTGAGTTGCCAACTTTTATACTAAATAGATTATTTCAATTATTTAAAAAAAAGGATGTCGTTATCATTTATAAAACATTTTCAAAAAGTTATTTTGGTACTTTTTGGTTATGATAAGTAATAGGTATGCATCATATATACGTGACTGGCACTAATATCATAAATATACCGTGAAAAAAAAGTCTTTTAGCGTCCTTTATTAATGTTATAAATTATAGAGTACACCTTCATGATATAGAGTATATTTTCGAGTACGCTTGAAAACCTCATCTGCATGTCAAGTAAACAAAACTGTTAAACTACACTCAATTGTATACCTTTAGACTTTCACATACAATTCCAAGTTCATAATCCGCTGCGGAGATTTAACATAAATGGTAATGTAATGTAATGTAACCTGCAAAATATCCTGACATACAGCCGTGAGTATCTCCCAATGACTTATTTCTGAAAAGGTGATGCAACCATATCTTATTTCTAATCAAATACCAAACAACACTAACCATACTCTCTTCGTTGATAGAATCTAGAGACAGCACGGTGACATGAAAGTATACAACAGTCGGCTGCCCGAGGAGTTTAGGAGCCCTATTCTTGTCGTAGTACTTCGCCCTCACCGGCAAGATGTCTCGGAGAGAGAGACTCGACTCTGATTTTAATTCTATTTCTTGATACGATGAGTTTGTTCTGGAAATTGTAATTGCTTAGCAAATTAATAAAGAAAATATGCTCTAAACTACATTATGTTAGTCGACTTCAGCAAAACAAATCAGTAATTATAGGTTTGTAACGATATTTCGATAAGTTGATGGAAATCTGACGGTAGGTGCGTCGCGTAACTGTCCACCACCAACGCATCATCATTATCATCAGCCCTTTTACGTCCCCACTGCAGGGGTTCAGACTTTCCTTATGGATGGTAAAGGAGGATGGGCCATGACCCTCCAGGCTGGTCAAATGCGGATTGGAGGGTATTAACGACTGTAATGCAGCCGGGACCAACGGCTTAACGTGCTTTCCGAAGCACGGAGTAACTTGAGATAATAATTGTTTGGTCACCCATCCCGCCCCTAGTGAAAGTTGCTTAACAAAAAAGATTGCGGGTCGCGGGATTTATCGACTCCGCTACCGAGCTACTCTAAAGATAATTACGTCAATGTTAACCACGGGTTTTTTTCTTGCAAGATTTTTTTTAACAATCAAGCAGCGTCACATGATTTTAAAAAAACAAGACTTTTTTAACCTTAAAGTCGAATTTACGAAAACATTACGAAACTACTTGTTTCATCCTGCATGACACTAATTCCGTAATATAAATTTGATTTAAATCTATTTAATAAATACCATTGCCGTTGCATTGTATGTTAGTAATGGAATTAGTTACGTAAGCTTTTATAATTCGTCACTATGTTCTTTTACTTAAACATTGGAGTAATAATATGATCATAACGCTTGCAATAGCGCCAAAATATCAGGGACTTAATAAAAATAAGGTAAGGTAAATAACTATAACTTATATTAGTTTGTTGAGGAGCTCGAGATCGACGGTGCATTGATTAGCTCTTTAAGTCTGCGATGTGAAGGTCAAGGGACTTTCGCAGTGGCCGATCATAGGATGAGTGACCAAAAATGTATCAATGGCCCATTCTCCCTACCTGACTCCTTACATAATGAATATCTTTATGACCCAGTTCCTCACAACTGGGGAACATTAAACGTTTACACCCCACATTAAAAGGCAATTACCTGTGTTTTACTACTAAAACACTTACAAGAAACTAACTGCTGCCTGAACCCTCCCGGCTGCAGCAATATCGAAGAAACGGCACGTCATCACCAACAGCACGATGAACATCGATGGTGCCAGTTCTCCCTTCATTTTCATTACCACGCAAACACTTGCCAACTAAATGATATTTGCTTTGAGCGACTTCATTCTGTTGCATCCGACAGTTCCTAGATACTAAACTTCACCTTTGGCGCATAACCTAAACGTAATAAAAACTTGTATTTATTATTAGGTCAGAGCATATATGATGAAAGATGCGTTGCATATGCCCTTAGACCTGACAAATATATAAGATTTTTCTAATTTCACCCGAGTAAATTATATCCTTAGACACCCACAAATGATGAAGCTTCCCCTGGTGATGAGGCTATCTACTCAGCATCGTCGGATGCGTGGTCATTATTCCAGAACCATTCTGCCCCAACGGCCATGGACATTACATGGTTTTCGTTTTATTCGTCATAACTTTGACTCCTGTTTTCAAGCATGGTGTTCACGTCCTCCATCTCTACAGGTTTCAGCCATTAGGACTACATCATCGGCAAAGCAAAGTCGAGGAAAAATAAAAATATTATTTCTTTGTCGACGGTACCAGTTGATGTGCCTGTGACGTGAATTAACTGTCTATAAACAATTGCGGTCACATATACATACTTCAATAATTTCGTTTTTAAATATTTCCCGATTCTATTTGTAATGGTCTTCCGTGGAGTAACGCAAGCTTTTATATATGTTGTCGTCCATCTTCTATCACATGTGGCGCGGCCCTAAAGATAAGTGCTCGTCTAAGGGCGATATTTATAGAAGAAACATGACGTTACATGAATATATTTTTATTAAATTGGAAGTCTTACATGCTCCACAAACCTAATCCAATAAAATGGTTATATGTAGTTGTCTAACATTAGGTGTGAAATATATACAACGTGCAAACGAATATACGTCTTATTGTTTCACTATTTAAATCTAAAGTTCTGTCCATTTCTAAATGAGCTATTTGTATGAAAAAGAAATTCGCCGCTTTTCATCGTCGGTCCTTCGAAACTTATTTATTTATATACATAGTATCTGTTTTCCTACGACTAGTTTCCCCCGATAAACTAGCTTCCCATAGGCAAAATAACTTTTAAAATCAGTCCAATAGTTCTGGAGCCTATTCAATGCAAAGAAACAAACTAAGAAACAATCATATATACTCCTACAGATAAAGTCACTATATACTCCCATAATTAAAGTTGTGAGATCTCTATTAAAAACTTATTAATTGAAATACTGAAACAAACAAAGGTATACAAATCTATATTGTGTTGGTGTCCATACGGATAATGGCACTATAAGGTTTCTATAATCAACAAAATCGCCAAAGGGCTCTTTTCCAGTATTGATAACTCGAACCAAGTATTTAAACATTAAATTACACAAATAATACATTTTCGGAACACTTTTTCCTTTTCAGTGTTTTTTTATTTGGATAGGTTTATAATTTTTATTTTGTTTTCTAATTTGTGCTGTCAAAATAAATGAATTATATTTTATAATTTAATTTGCGCAATTAATATACCAACTTAGATTTTTATCATCATATCAACCAAGAGATGCCCACTGCTGGGCATAGGCCTCCCTCAAAGTTTTCCAACGTGATTGGTGCTGCACCTCCCGCAGCCAGCGGCTTCCCGCAACCTTCACCTTTTTATACTACGTATAAATTAATTTGGGCAAATTTTTTTTTGTCGTATTTTAATAATTACTAACAATACTTCTTTTAATGCCAATTTTTGAATGTAATATTAAAAAAAAACATATTTATTTAAATATATTTATCAAGACTGGATAAGTCTTGTTCCTAGAGTTAAGAAATCGTTATTTCTTAATTTCTAACTTATCTTGCATCTACTCGGCTCGTAAACCTGTGTTTCTTATTAATTCACTTTTTTTAAAATTTCATGCAACAGCATTTAAGCTCCATTGTAAAGCCTTGTCTATATTTTTTTTAATATAACATGACTATATTTCTGGGCACCCTTTACAGCCATTTTATAATAAGGAAAGATTTTATTGTTTGTTCGTTTGTATCAAATAGACTCCGAAACTACTGAACTGATTTTAAAAATATTTTCAATTATGGGAAGCTAGATTATATGCGGGTGATATTGGCTGTAAATTACGCACGCGCAGTCGCGGAAAACTAAAAAAATAAAATAAAATCTAATAATATTACTTATAGCACAATTGACTTACCTAATTTAATTCAAAATCCACACAATATTTTTTAACACAAGAGTCCATGCACTGTCCTATTTATTTGTTCATATTCAAAAATCGTTGTCACAAATATATTAGGAGTGATGTAACTAAATCGATGGTGTTCTCGTATTGTGATAGCATACTTAGTTGACCTAATTTACAGGAGTACGACCGTTGCTTGTCACATTCATACTGACTAAAGTGTTAGTGAAAGAAAGATAAGGCGATGGTCGGTACCAAGCGTTTAGTTAACAAGCGTAAGCGATATTTCATAGAAAGGCTAAAATCAAAAACGAAAACCTGTTTAAGTACAGTTTGGGATGAACTTCACTCAGAACCAGGAACAGGGGTCTAAATTGAGTATTTAAAGTTAAGCACGTCTCAAACTGTACTTAATCGTCACTTAAACAGGTCGTTTCTGATTTTAGTTTTTTAATGATCATTTGTTATAATTTTAGAAAATCTAGGCTACTTTTTGCCTAATGAAAAGTAAAAATCTCAAGTTATTAATAATAATCAGTTGAAATTTTGTACTTGTCTCAAAACAGAAACCGTCCGTAAGTATTTATAAATAAGCAGATCCAGGTGTTCAAGGTGTTGTATGCCGATACGGAAGTTATCTTCTGCAAGAGTCGGTCATGGTATGGGTGACCAAATATTTATTATATTAAACTCCTCGTTGCTTCGGACGACACGCTAGGACGTTCGTTTATCTGTGGTCCCTACTGCATCTGCAGTCATTAACATCTAACAGTCAGCACTAGTGATGGGTCATGGGCCATTCTCCCTATTCGATTCGACTCCATCCATAGGGAAGGTCTATCATCAAACAGTGGATCCAGTAGAGAGAAATAAAAAATAACATTAATTATAATAACAAGAAATAGCAGCTAGTAGAGTTAGAAGAAAAAGCTTAAGTAAAGAAAAAAAGTGAAATAATCTTCTTTTTACATTTACAAAAACTCAACTTACACTTCTTTTCAATCCAAAACTGTCACAGACTGAGCGCTTGCATCTCCATCTTTCTCGCCAATGAAACCGATCCCAGACTGAGAGTGCGCTAACGAGCGCGAAAAATATTCAGTAGAATAAAGATTATTCAATTTAAAACATCATAGTTAGTTGTTTGTGGTATAAAACAAATAATTAAGTATAAAATTTGAATTAAAAATGCGGTCATATACACCTTTTATCAGAATACTTTCTTTATTGTTTATGAACGAATTTAATTTTAATAAAGCCAACGTTTAAGTAGCGAAAATAAAAATATTTTTATATATAATCTATAATATATAAAGCTCAATTACCACTCACTGACTCACTCACTCACTCCATGCTTTTTTCAGGTAGAAAGAGGGGGAAAATGACGTTTTCATGTATGAAGCGTGACAATATTTTTTTCAATCGAGTTGAAGTACCATATCGGTACAGCCAAAAAACAAAATGGCGGCGAGATAATTTTTTTAATTTTCCAAGTATACACTCTACGATTACGATATTCAAAATGGTCGTAGATATGGCTAAAAAAATGACACTGAAAAAAGGTTTAATTAAAAATACAAAATGGCGGCCGAGATATTTCACCTGGAAATTTGGCATTTTTCGACCTCTGTTCGGGCAATCGTCGTTTCTTTTGTGGTGGGTTTGGAGGGGGGATTTTTACGCCGGCGACTCGGAATTATAGTCGATTTTCACGTACGGGAAGTTTTGGCTTGTGTTTCGGCAATGAAAAATCGCCATTTTCGAGTGAGATTTTCTCCAAGATGGCGGCGTTGGACAGATTCGCTATCTATGGGCCGGTCGTAGGGCTCAGTGGGATCTTTCTACTTCACTACCGATTTCTACCATTTTCGTGGTAGTTTATGAGATTTTGGGAGAAAAGTGAAATTTCGAAATACGCACTTTTCGCGGAAAACAGACTCGGTGCAGTGTGGTGCCAGGGGAGCCCTATGACTTTTGGTAGTTTTCGTTTCTGCGAGCTGACAACCCTGGGCTCCACGGTAGAAAACGTGTTTTTCGACATGCCCTCATAACCCGAATTGTTTGGGAACCTGGGTGGCCAGCGGAGAAAATCTGTGAATGTGGTCCCTTGCCTGATATAGTCGTGACTATGGGAAAATTATGAAACTCGGCAAAATCAATATGGCGGCGCCGGCAGCGGCCATTTTGTGATTTTTTAACTTTTTCGAAAAATTCAAACGCACTTTTAGCACACATGGCAACATTGTAGCTCTTCGCCTGGTATGGACTGGTCGTGAGTCTCCGCTGGCTCTTTCGAATGACCTGAAAATTTTCCCCGATTTTAGGGTAATTTCGGAGATTTACCCCAAAAAGGTGAAAAGTAGAAGGAGCCGTTTGGGAATTTCAAAAATGCTTTTCCTCGACGGAGGGCACTCCCCGAAATGACATTTGATCATTTTCATCGTCGTCACCTGGCAACCCTGGTAGGAGCGGCGATTTAAAATATTTTGCCCATTTTTTACTTTGTCGACTCTAGCGCAGTCGGTATTGCCACTAGGAAAATGGTAAAAACTGCATCGGATGCGCTATCGAGTTGGCCACACCGGTACGGAGCCGGATTTTCAATATTCAAGATGGCGGCCAAATCAGCGGCCATTTTATCCAAAAAATTGGGTATCGTCACCACGTCGAGCCGATTTTGACGCACTTGGTGACATTTGTCAGACTACTTCCGGGGAAACAATTTTTAGGCAAGTAGCTGAGGTGTTGCCAGGTGAAAAAAAATCTTGAAAATTTTTGATACTTTATGAGAATTTTGGGGAAACACTTTTTGTCGAATTTTGAATTTTTTTCGATGCAAATATTTTAATTTTAACTTTTTAAGA